TGCGGCTGGTATGCGGGTGGTATGTGCCTGCTATGCCGGTGGTATGCGCCTGCTATCCTGGTGGTATGCGTGGTCCGGCAGACAGGGCCGGCACCCGCGTCCGGGGGTCGCCTTCCCGGTGCCTGTGTATCCGCGTTTGCGGCAGGCGGACTCGTAGGGTAGTCCGTGGGGGCTGCTGGGGTCATGCGCCGAGGTGGCCGGCTCGGAATCGAGGCCATGGCGTCGCCGCGCGCGCGCGAATGCGAGCTTCCCATTGGTCGATTCGAACTGAGCTGATGTTGCACTCGACTCGGCGCCGGCGCTCGTCCTCCGAGAGGCAGCCCCTCGCGCTGAGGTGCTCGTGGAGCGCGACGCCTGGAGCCTAGGTGGCGGCGGTGGACACCTCGTACCCATGGGTGACTCCGGAGGTGCTCTGCTCGCGGGAATTGGCTGTGTCGTCGAACGCTTGGGCGTCGGAGCGGCAATTCCCAGTGGTTGCACAGCTTCGAGTGCCTCTGTGGCAGCCCCAGGGTGGCACCACGCGCAGCCGAGCGGCAAGTACCACGCTCTAGTATGTCGGCGAGCACAGCGCCACGCCATGGACCGCGCCGTGACCGGAGCCATTCGCGCGGCGGCCTCGAACGACTTGCATGGCGCACAGCGTCATCGAGTGTACCTGGTTGGCCAAGGGGCTGCTCACGTTAGTGTTGGGGCCTCCAGGCAGGTCGGACGGACCCATGGACCAGATCGGACGCAAGAACGCGACCGCCAAGGTCGAGATGTGCATCACGGATCGATTCGAGCACACCGCGGCCACTGCGCGCGCGCGCGGTCGCCATCACTGCGCGGACTTCCACCGAGTCTTATTCCCCCGGCCCTTTTTCCACGCGCGACGCGTCGGGTAAGGAGCGGCCTCGCCGCGTTCGCGGGTTCGGGCTACTCGTCGTCACGCGCTACGGCCGGCGCCGGGGTCGAGTGCCGGGCCTTTTCCGGCAGGGCCCTCGTCGGGCGGCGGTTGCTCCGCGCTCAGGACACGTCCATACCCTGCTGATGGCGGCTCCCGCCGCGCATAAATTATAATACTTTACCATGGATGGCCGAGCCCTCAGATTAATTAAATAAACACAATAATGACGCGCGCGGGAAGTTTTTGTGTAGCGCCGCAGAAAAAAAGTGCAAGGTCCTCGCATGCCAATGGCTTGAGGCGGCGGCGCCGCCGCGGGCGCGGCCGCGAACGCCGACTCGCGGACCTGCTGCATCGGCAGCACGCGGAGTAAAATCCCGCATGGGGGGTCGGGTTTGTAAAATTCGACTGGGTCCGGCGGGGGCGTACTTGGGGAGGCGTCGGGCGACCCCCCCCTAGGTCCCCAGGGAGCTCCTGGCACTTGTTTTCTGGGTCGGTCGGTCGGTCGGTCGGTCGTCGTCGTCGCCGCCGCCGCCGCCGCCGCCGCCGCCGCCGCCGCCGCCGTCGTCGTCGTCGCGCGCGCGGGGAAGTTTCGAACCTAATTCAGTCGCAGGGCAACCGCAGAGAGGTGATGAGTTGCCCCATGCCAGCTGTCACGGTATATGGACCCGGGGATGCAAAAATCGAGTCGGCGCGCCCCGCAGTCGCAGTGATCGACAGTCTCGCCGCAGAATGCCGCCAGCAGGATTTTTCGAGCTCCCGAACCCCGTCGTCGCTGCCCGGCGCAGCACGCGCGCTTTTCGTGCACCACCTGACGCAAAACGGCGCGGTGCCGGCGCATCACATCATCGCAGCGTTATCCGTCGGTCGAAACGATGCCGTTTTGGATGATTTCGATGAGGTTTTCGATTACTACTTCAATAAATTAACCCAAACGCGTTTGCTTGTAACACCCCTGGGTCGGCGCAATTAATTCACGGGCCGCGCTGAGCTTACGGCGCCCGCCGTCGGAAGCGGTTGCTGGTCCAAGTAAGCAAAATCTTACCGATGGCGACGCGCGGTGGAAAATTCCAGAGTGCTGGCGAGACGAAAACCGCGAATCGTCCAGAAAAATGTTCGCAATTAATTCGAAGACCCGGCCCATTCGAACAAGCGCGTCGGTTTCTGAGGGGTGGGAACAACGAAAGTCAAGTTGTATTATCCGACCCCCTCATGCGGGATTTGGCTCGCGGGGCGCGCGCGGCTCCGGCTCCCGGCGCGCGCGCTGGAGTTCCTCGGGCACGTCTTCGCGTAGGCGCGGGCCTTGATGGCTCGTGGCCTGCGAGGAGCTCGCCGCCCGCGCCAGGACTTGAGCTCGTCGGACGACGATGTGCCGGCGCCCCAGCGCCCGCGCCGCGCTGCTTTACCGTCGTTGGGCCCAGGCGCCCGGATACCGGGCCCGAGGGGGTCCGTTGGGGATGCCCCGGGCCTGGGCATCTGTGCCAGTGCCCCCCGCATCGGTCGCAGAGAATACTCTAGTGACTACGGCGGGCGTTGCGTGCCAGCGTTTTACTGTTCCGACGTACGTAGTGGCGATGCGCGACAAGTACGCCCGCTGGATGTCGTTCTGGCCCCTCATGTCGCCCGCCGGCGGCGGGCTTGACTAGAGGCTAGAGGCTAGCTCGGCCCCATCGAGGCCGTTTCGCGGTAACCCAGGCGTTTTTTAATGGGGCGGCGCCCCATTTGCGAATCGAAAAGGTCACCAAACCCCCGGCCAAGTCTCTATTTTCTAGGACACGGCACCTATTCGTGCGCGCTGGCCGGGGGTGGAGCTGAAGTGCGGACACTGTCCGCGCTTCAGGATGAGGCGCGGACAGGCCAAGTCTTGCGATGTGTGCGCCCCTGGAGGCCCACCGGCGGTCACACCGTGTCCTAGGGGTTCACATGGACGCCGCTGACCCGCGGCGCGCTGCAATTCGGTGCCGGCGGCGCCGAGCCGCAACGGTTTCGGACCGAGCGCGACCGTGGCGCCGGGGCCAGAGCGGCGCCCGCCGGGGCCGTGGACCGTACCCGCGCCCCACACACGCCCACCGTATGTTGATCGACGCGCTCCGCCGAAAGATCGTTGAAAATCGCTGGGAATCCGCCGCGGCGCGCCGCGAACTCGCTCCGCCGTAGCGCGATGCCGTGGCGCCGAGGGCCAGGCTGGCGCCCACCGACGTCGTGGACCGTACCCGCGGCTCAGACACGCCCACCGTATGTTGTTCGACGCGCTCCATCAACAAATTGTTGGAAATCGCTGGGAATCCGGCTGCGGCGCGCCGCGAACTCGCTCCGCCGTCGCGCGAGGACGCGCCGCTCGGCCGTCCGCGCGCAATTTTGCGTCGACCGATCACCATCGCTGTGTTCAGCCCGGTTCATGATCTTCAGTGAACTGCATCTTGATGTTGCAGTGCACCTTGCCCCACTGCGCTCCTACTGCGTATCCTGCTAGTCTTCCCTTCCCTTCCTTAATTCATTCTAATCCAGTTTCAAGTCTTATAGACAGCGATCTGAAGGAGTGACTGCCAAGCAGGCATAGCGAGCACAGCGCTCCTCTGTGTCTGTGGTGTCTGTCTGGTTAGCGTCACAGCGACGTGCCAGGTAGCACCAGGCTCAGCGAGGTGGCACAGTCGCCGGACAGTGCACCTGCTGGATAGTAGCCTGACTGACGTCATAGCGACGTTAGGAAGCTAGTAAACTATCCTAACTTCCTACCCATGTTGAAGGCACACCCAGCTCCTAACTATTATTATCCTATATCATTATATATCTTGTATCAGTAATAATAATATGTGGACGGAAATCCTGCCACATAGTTTACGTGTACATGTATACACTTAGGTTCACGGTTACATGGGGGGTGGACTGTCTAACGCAGTGATCGGCGGGAAGGGCAAAAAAGTGCAGAACCCAATCGTGGGATATCCTGTTTTTTGGATAAACTTGGACCGCAGCGTCGATCGCCGCCAGCGTATGCACTCGGCACTCGAAGCCGCTGGAATCGTGGCGACGCGAGTGCCGGCCGTGGACGCAAGAAAGTATGACCCTCTTGATCAAATTGACTGCGTCACGCTGCCCCCTCCAAATAGTGACTATGCATATCCAAAGTTTTTGATTCGTGCTTCGACCGATCGTCCTGAGACTAGGGCATGACTTGCCAGTGTGGACTTCTCTCTAACGTTGCCGGTGCGCACATTTTGAAAACAGGTCGCACCCATCGAGATGGCAGAGGAAGTTGTCAACGTAGAATCCGCATCACTTAATGAGACGAGCAAAACGCTGGGGAAAGAGGCAAAATTGGTTCCCCCTCGGTCGGGCCCTAAAGAGAAACTATACCTGGTGGACGGTTCCGCTGATGCTGCGTAATCATAGTGTGGAGTCATAGATGAACACGTGTAATCATCCTTGTTTAGGTATCAGGCAAAAGGGCACCTCCGTGGGCCAGCAACTATCGCAGAAAAGGCCTGTACAGTTTCGCACGCACTGGCATTGGCACTCGCAGCCCGAAAGCTGGGTCAAAATAATGTAGAGAATCCAGCCGAACCTTACCGCAGCAAGGGTGCCCTCATCATTGAGGACGATGTTACTGTGGGCATTGAGCAGATAGCGTCGTGGCCGGTAAGCATACCAGTAATTACAGATTCGCTGCCGCGTGACTGGGAATACCTACAACTCTACACACCGAACCCAAAGGTCGTTCGCGGCCCGCACGGTCTCTTGAGCCCACATCCCAAGCTCACTGGCGGGATGGAGACCACAACTACCGGCACACGACCCTTCGCAGTACGCAGAAGCAGTGAGTCAACGATCTGAGTATTCACATGAGGTCAACATGCGGATTGTAGGTAACAAAGTATTCGGCACCCAGGCCTATGTGGTATCGTGCAAGGGCCTCAACAGGATTTCTGCCCTGCAGGCTAGGCGAGAGAAGATGCGAACATTACGCCTTGAGCATTGGTCTGATGTGCAACTCATTGCTGATCATTGGATTCCGTCGATATTTCCATCAGACGTCTCGTATGTTGCTACGGTGCCCACCTTGGTTGAGGATGCGTGTGTGTCAACTATTGCCCCTGGTGAGAACGCCTGGTCCCACGATACGGTGCGTGGTCTTTACCTAGACGCTTTTCGCTGGCCTGATCGCTTTCTTCCATGAGTATCCGCGGGCTAGCGGTTTGCGCGGGTGAAGCTGCAAAGCGCCCAAGTGATTTAAAGCTCTGTCAGACTGCGATTTTGAGACAACCACAGCCGCGCTTGAAGGACGTTGCTGCACCGGAACACTCCGATGCTCGATTTCACAGGACAGCATGCCGCTTCCCGCACAGTGCGTATACGCAGCCTTCATGGGAGCTAGTGAAAAGGAGCACTAGTGAAAAGGAGCTCAATTTCCGGAACACAGGGCGGTGTCCCAGTCCTCCGTAGTTGGACCGCGGCAGTTGGGACCTAGAGATCATGTCCTGGAGGCATATTTCTCCCCCTGCAGCCGAGTGGAGGGCGACTGAAGGCGCGTTTGCGGTGCCGGACCGCAGGGCCTTCGGGACTGCGGCGACCTCGGAGGAGGTGAGCTTGGCGAAGTCGAGTGGCGACGGCTCCCCGAGCCGCACCTGGCCGTTGCACCAGATGCCCCCCGGGGCTAAGTTGGCCTCCTCGTCTGTCGCCCCCCGTCGTCAACGGCCGTTCTCGTCATTCAAGTGTAGAGAAGAGCAATTCCTGGTTCCGATGGCGAACTACTGCTATCTCCCGAACTATACGGGCCAATGGAGAGGGACGTAAGCTCCTTCAAACAAGAACTCGCCTCCCGCCAGTGACATCCGATTTTTATTCAAGTTGCGGCACTTTTATTTCACCTTCATTATCAGCGGGTCCCGCCGATAGCCACACACCCTAGTAATAAAATTTTGAAGCCACTCGGACCAAATCGCTGGCCGTTACGACCCGGCGCTTTCGGCGCATGAGCCACTGTGGGCTGCCTTGCGAGTCCCGCTGCTAAAATCCTCGTGTACAAGGGCATCCGGGGGGGCCTTCCCGCCCCTCTGGGTTGTATGTGCGCGTTGTTTTCCAAGTCTGCTGCCTGCGTTTTCGCCCCAGTTGACCTGGGCATCCAGTTGACGGCCAGCACAACGCAGTTCACCACGACTTAGCGCTGGTACCTGGAAGAATTCCGGTATTTACCCTGGTGGTACACCAACCATTATCTCCTTTTATTTTACATTCGGGTTTTGATCAAATCACCTGTGCTCTCTAGCCTACGTATATCAGCTTGGCATCCGAATGGGCCATAAACAGGTAAAGTACATTTCCAGATACGACATGTGTTGTCTTTTGATCCCGTGATGACGGTATCGCCACTATAGTTGAAAGCGCAACTAAAGATTTCGTCAGTGTGCCCCTCCAGAATCTAGGAAAGTACAGTGGAATGATGATTTGCGGATGATGTATATGATCACTACCTGGAGGCAATCACCTGTTTCAACGTCCCAGAGTCGAGCTGTTTTGTCGCTGCTTGCTGTCAGAATGCGAACACCCTGCGGGTTGAAAGCGACCTTGGAAATTTCACCCTCGTGTCCAATAAGAATGGACTGACATGCGCCTGTCATCGTGTTGAATACGCGCGATGTGCCGTCGGCAGATGCCGTGACTAACTTAGAGCCAGTTGCATTGTAGCATACATCCAAAATTTCATCATTGTGGCCTCGCAAAGTATGGACACATTGGCCGCTCCCGACGTCCCATACTTTGCAGGTACGATCTATCGAACCACTGATGCATAGATCAGACTGGTAATTGAACTAACACAAATCCAAATAAATCATTAACAACACTGCATCTGCGCACCTGCGTGCTAGATATTTCGCCGTTGTGTCCAGCGAGTGTGTGAATGCAACGTCCCGTTTTCACATCCCACAATTTCACGGTGTGATCAAATGAGCCAGTTATAATTTTCTGGCCGTTCGTATCAAAATTCAAACTCACAATCTCCGCTGTATGGCCCAACAGCGTGTGCAAACATTCTCCAGTATTCACGTCCCAGAGTCTTGCTGTATTGTCCATAGAACCTGTTGCGACTGTAGATCCATGGGGATTGAACGACAGACAAACAATTTCTGTTGCATGACCACGATAAGTGTGGAATAGATCGCCATTCTCGGCATTCCAGATTTTGCAAGTCTTGTCTATTCACACTATTACAAGCAAATATTGTGAATTAAGATGCACCGAAGGATCCAGTAATTATCTTATCTCCCCACGGGTTGTTAAACGCGATGGCATAAACCACGTTTCGATGTCCCTCGAGAGTCAGCAACTCTTCTCCAGTCTCAGTCCGCCAAATCTTACATGTTCGATCATAACTTCCTGTGATGAATTTGTCGCCCTGCTTGTTGAACGCACAGTTTGTCAACGGCAGTATGTGCGCACGCAAAATTTTAAATAAATAATAATCACTATTCTCGTTACTTTCGAGTTTCTCAATGAGCTCTAAAATAGGAACAAGTATCTAGACAAACAATTGTCATCGTAGCTTACTGTAAATAAGTCTTCGAAGTTGTGGCTTGCGGTTTTCACTAATGAGTGGCTCTTCGAATGTCACTTGGTTGACAAGAACTTCAACGTCTGTCCTACGGAAGTTAAAAATATGGAGCATCATCGGATAAGTATTCAAGTACTCTGGTGTTAAGTGTAGCAAGTCTATCTCTTTTGTTTCTCTCGTCTTATCCCGCATCTCGTACTCCAAGATAACTCCAGGAGGGTAATATCGCTACGCGCTTAAATTCACACAAAGAATTGCGCAGAAGATTTACCAGCAGGAATCGTTTCAGCTTCATCGCTACAGAGAGTTTTTTTTTTCAAATAGAGGGTCCCTAGACCACAGGGAGCGAATGGCTGTGAGGCAGCGCGGTGGTGTGCCATCGAGGGGCTGCCGCGGGGCGTCTCAGGTCGATTTTGACGTGCGCTTCGGCGCCGCGCGCCTGCGGGCCTCGCTCGAGGCGCACCGCTCGAAGTCCCCGTCCGATTCGGTGCGGTGGGCGCCGAGTTCTGGCTGCCCATCGACTGGCTGCCACGCGCCGAGGGCATGGTGCACGCGGGGACTGCGGACGCGGCCTTGCGCCGCGGTTCGCGGTGGCGCTGGATGGGCGGGACGCTGGGTTGGACGTGTCGGCGGCGCAGCCCAGCGCGGCGCCGGTCGCCGCGCCCCGCGTGCCCGTGGACGAGGTGAACCTGATGCCCAGCAAGATGCTGACGGATTTTTGGAAGGGCGGCCGCCCTAGGCGGAGGCGGAGACGGGCCGGCGCCGGGGCACTGGGGCCGGGGCCGAGCCGCGCGACGGGCTGGCCAAGCCGGCTCGCATCGCGCGCGAGGCTCATGGACGAGGTGGACCTGGTGCCCAGCAAGATGCTGATAGTTTTCTGGAGTGTCGTTCCAGCGGCACGGGCCAATCCCGGGACGCCGCGCGCGACGGCCCTCGTCGGCGCCAAGCGCCGGCGGCGGAGCCAAGACCGAGCCGCCCGACGGGCCGGCCAAGCCAACTCGAAGGGCTGGCGAAAGACGCGGCGGCGGCGCGGGCCAAGCCCGGGTCGTCGTGCGCGCCGGCCCGCGTCGGCGCCAAGCGCCGGCGCTGGCGGAGACAGGCCAAGCCTGACTTCTCGGGTGCCAAGCGCCGACGCCAGGGCCGAGACCCGAGCCGCCCGTCGAGCCGGCCAAGCCGACTCGGGAGGGCCGGTAAGGCCCGTGCCAAGCACGCAGCGGGGCTGGGCCCGCTCTTACTTACTCGCCCTGTGCGAGAGATATCAGCTGGACACGCCGCCCCTGGCAGTCGACCCCCGGCTGCCGTCCCAGGGAGGTAACGGCCGCGTAGCGGGCGTACCACGTACGTTGGTGGAAGGTCTGTTTTCGGAGCCCCGGAGGGGCGACGACTTCTGCAGACGCGCCTCCTAGGCGCGTCCGCAGGAGCTTTTTTCGACCGCGCGGGGCCCTGCCGGCAGAAAATTAAGGACACCAGGGGCACTTCCCCCCAACGGCCTCTCCAGCCCCGTCAACGGCCCCCCAACGGATAGGAATGGCTATTGTTTTGGGTTTAGTGACCTATTTCCCTGGGTTTAGTGCCGGGAACGGCGTTTCTGGGTTTTGTCCGTCGAGAACTTGAAGCGGCGTCCTGAGTTTTAGAGTGCGTCACGGTTTTTTTGTTTTAGATAAAGAAGGGGTTGAAAGTGTCTTGATGCTCAGCATCGTCATATTCTTCATGGGTATATAACTGCGATAAGTTCTTCGCTTTCATGTTGGCTTGAACAATTCTGTTCCATGATTGGAATTGTTCTTTAATGGTGGTGTCGTTGCCACACAGAATCGGAAATGGGCTTGTGCGAGTGTCGCCCGTGTGTATTTCGGTTTTGGTTGCGATCACAGTGCACCTGCTACCATGATAAAGCGGCGAATATCGCCCTTAGAACGCGAGTGTGATTAAGCACAATCAAAGTGCGCTTGGCGATAAGCCAGCTACCTAGGGAGCCTACATTCCGCTCCTTGGGCTATGCTACCCTAACTCGGGACTATGCTATCCTCCCTATGCTGGGACGCTCATACTGGCCGATGCTGGCTATGCTAAGTCTGCCTTATACTGGCTATGCGCATGCTATACTATGCTGGTGCTTCATACTAGCATACTCGGATTCTAACAATCGAAGGACTGAATCATCTGTTGATTCAGAAACACAATCCGCTGGCTCGGGCGACGCGCGGAAGCGGAGATCACTGGCGTCTTTTTCGCGCGCGCGCGCGGGGATGGCAGTTACGAAAACGACCTCAGCCTCATTATTTGTTCTGAATATCCTGGCTGATATATCCTGGCGGCTATATACCTGTAGATATCGATCTGTTCGATCCCGGCGGTTGAGATTGGCTCGGTGCTGTCCAAAACTAGGGGTCGCAATGGAGGGAAAATTTCAGAAAGCCAAGGAATTTGCGCACAGGGGCTTAATGTCGTTGAACTTGATGAAGGCATGCAACAGAACTGGTGACGGAGTGGTGTCGAGAATGGAGTTCTTGGCTACGGCTAGTTCTACAGTGCAGTCGGCTAAGAAGTCAGTGGGAAATAGCCTGATGTCCCTTGATTCGGTTCGTGCAATGGACGCCAACGGGGACGGCGTCCTGACCGCAACAGAACTTGCGGAAGCAGCACGGCTGGGGCTAACAGGCGCAAGCAATGCTGCGAGCGAAGCGGTGATATCGATGAAGGCAGACGCACAAGAGTTCTCACAGCTTGCACGTGAGAATTGGGTCTCTGATCCACGCACTAAGTGTTTTAACAGACGTGGATCGTGTTGAAACACATTTTCTTTTCATTAATGGCTGAATTTGTAGGCAACAAAGACTTCGATAGTCTTATAGAATTTGTGGGTAATCGGCTGGACCGATCTGGCCAAAAGTTCAACCGCTCCACTGATCGACCCGACCCTGACAACTATAGCGATGACTCATCGACAAATCGCAGTCTTGCCTGGTTTTCCTACCCAAGCAGACCACACAAGCGTCGCGATGTCGATCCAAACTTTGCTTCGCGCCTAGGCGATGCAGCTCATATCACACCATCTCAATCAGAATCCAGAGGAGACGGCGGGCGAATCCCACTGAGGTTGAGACACGACGGTATCTTACGAGTTGGTGCAAAGAAACGGAAGTCTGCCGCCGCGGCTGCACGCCGTGTTCGGGGAGGTGATATTCACATGCGACCATGCTCAGCATCCGTATCTCCTCCGTCTACCAACGACGCTATGTCGGCTACTGCTCTCGTTCGATGCAATACGCCATTTGGGCGGCGGAGTTCTCGCTATCTACTGACTCAATCATTGAAGGTGAAATCCCCCTTGATCGCGACACTTCGGGAGCAATTGATCAAGAGATTCTCGGTTCTATATCCCGGCGTGGGTAAGCGCCCACCTGACTACCAGCATCCGAACAAACCACAGATGGCAGGATGGCTGTGGTCTATGACGGGCCGTCCGGTTTTTGGCTGCGTTGAAAAGCACGCCGCGTGGTTGTTTTAAGCTTGCGTCTAGGCACGATGGCAGCGGCTCTTCTATGAGCTTCATGATACGTCACTTCTGGGCTTCGATGCTCCCAGTTCCTGGGGACGTGACCATGAAACCGCGGTCCCACGGCGGCGGCTTGAGGTGGGATTTGCAATTTCCCATGGTGCCCTGTGCGTTGAAATCACAAAGCGCGACTGTGGTTACTCTTTCTCTCACCCCGAGCTTTCGTTCTGTACCAGCGTGACGATGAAAGACTCCACATACCACTTCTGGTGAGCCTCTCTTTTAGGCGTTTTGTTGCCAGCCAACGGGACGGACTGGAACCAGAACTCATTGCATTACTCGAAGCAGAGGCCCCGTTAAGTCTCACATTATATGGGCGCGAGAACCTGGAGGATGTCGCCGTGTTTTTTCGCGCTGAAAGCAACCACAAGGCCAGCCTGTGGGTGGAGACCTTTCAAGCGGCGGTGCGAGCTTCGGATAAAATGGCTTTCGACCTCAAGTCATCTGCAGCGGAAGAGGCAACCTTCCACCTAGTTGCCTCAGCTACTGCACACGTGCCAACTGGTGCCCATGCACACCTTTATAAAGAGAGACAGAAGCTTGGTTAATATCACGCTGGCTTCAGGCCCGTCGATATATCGCCTGCACACGGGAACTTGCACGTTCCAGACTAGTTGATGCGCGCCAACTCATTGGCGTGCGCGAGGGTCTCGTGGAGATTGCGTTCGTACCTAGGGCCTAAGCAGGAGCACGAGAGTCAACGTTGAAATATCTCGCAGGTACGTGCCACCTCTCACTCAGAAAATAGCATTGATGGAGAGTCCCTTCAATGGGTCTGCAGTAAACTGGATGCGTTGCTTCTGTGTCCTGGGTGAGGATGCAACACTCCACCTTGGGATTCACGCGCCAGAGGCTCGCTGTGAGGCTCTAATCATTATCTCCTTGAGGAATGCGGAGCTCGACATCGAAGCCGGCGCAATGAGCACACCACCATGTCCTTGAAAATAGCATTCAAATTTGACCCTCATCCCATGTTGGCGTCGTGAGCTAAATGCTCTTGTAGGGGAGCAGGGTGACTGCGTGATGCACATTTCAACAAAGGTCAGGTGTGTACTTTTCAAGGCACAGCACCGCGTAGCGCTTGAAGCCTGGCTCTCTGCGATGCAAAAGGTTTTGAGCGCTTGTAATCGTGCTAATGAACTGCCTCTGCGACTTCATAAGCGAAGTATGGTGCGGGATGAAGGAATAGCATCTCGCCGCACGTCAGACATAAATTTATTTCGGGGTGGGCCAAGCCATGGCATGGGCGCTGCATATTGCGAGCGGGCCCTTGCACAGCTAAATACCCTCGCAGAATCTGTCCTGGATATAAGCCTTGCCGAGGTCCTGCGCGTGAAAAGCTTGTGTGCCCGCAGCGCAATTGGTTTTCATGCCTTACTTGACTGTGGATCTTTCAGGCGGGATGCATTGACAGCCTCTCTGAGCACATCCGATGCTCTCGTTGTCGATGCTTGGCGTGCAGCTGGTGTCGTACTCACTGCTTCAAAACGCGAGCAGGATGATCGAATGGTCGCGCAGAGTAGCGCGCCTGTTACTTTCATGTTTCGGAGGAGACGCCTGCCTTTGGATGTGTCGCTTGAACGCCTAAGGGACTCGGTTCAACGCAGTCAGCGTTCGAGTGACTTTGACTCATTAAATCCTGAATCTGCCAGGTCAGGCTATCCTGGAGCAGTGCGAGAAACGCGTTTTCTGTAGTCGATTCACCTTTAAGTCTCCCTACAAGTGTGGTGGGAGAGAAATTGCGCGAGGATGTCTGGAAGACCATTGCACCTGTATTACATGGGATCCAAAGGACTTCAAGCGAAATCATTTTGTTGGAGCTCGATTCTCTGCGCAATTTCCGGGAGGCATGCCTTTCTCATCTTAAGCCGAGTTTATGTGGATTTCGCAAGTCCAAGCGCTTCGAACAGGCCGCGCGAAAGCTCCTCAATTTGCCCCCCCCTTCATATTCTAGTTCACCTGCGCAAAAATCGTCAGTCAGGAAAGAGACTGAAATCGACGATGCGCTGGTCAACTCCACGGACTCTCGTACGCGAGAAGGGGGGGGGCTGACTAGTATTAGAGGGAAGGATGACAACCCGTGGCGTGAAATGATGACGGCGTCTGAAACATTGCAGCACGGGTTATGCCTCAACGAGAGCGCCGGAATTTCGGCATATGACAAAGGTGTAGACTACCGACCATTGCCATTGGGGCGGCGCATGCTCATCTACAAGCCAATGCCTTGGACATTGAGGCGACCAAAAAAGGGCAATGCGGTTGAATTGAGTCGAAAGACGGGCAAAAAGGATCATCACAAACCCAAGAAGGGGAACATCGTTGGCAAGGAGGTCTGGGCTACTCTGCGCGTCGGAAAGAATCAAGTTGGAAGGCATGGGAGCTGTGAAATTGTGCTCCACACGGACCAGCGGTGTAGTCGAGTACATGGAACTGTCTTGCGCAGAGTAGACAAATCTACTTTAAGAGAACAATAATTCCGGGCTTGGCATACCCGGCAGTTTGTATACCCCAGAGGCTGCAACTGTGGCATTGATGGTTCATATTCTTACCCGTATTAACTACTCCTGCACTCAGGTTGAGATTGAACCCCATCCACACATCCGCGAAGCATGCACAGATCATGAGTTTGACCGAGAGCACGCCACGCTCTGTCGACGATACTGTGCTTTGTGCCGATGCTTTGTGTGTGCTCGTCCGCCTAGCTTGTGTAGCGACTGGCACGGCCATTCTACAGCTGTCTCCACATCGGTTGTTTCGCAGCAGAAGCGAGCGCTAGCGCTTCGCCGCTTGAAGCAGTCTAATGAGCTGGCCTACGAGGAGACACTTGAAGCGCGCGCATTTTACTATGATGTGGGTAGCTCACGCGGCTCGATAATTTCTGGTAAATACGCACGCGGTCGGGTTCGCTTGCGCCTCGGGGATGCTGTTATCGTGGGTCACACGGAGCTGCTTTTCTGTGTGCAGCCCCCTGGTTGGGCTGCGCCTCTTCGCACAGAGATGGCTAGCTCCTCGGACGATTCTTCCGGTGAAGAAAATACGCCCAACAGGCGCAAGTCGCTTCTGAAGGATATCATGAAAGGGACCCTCGCTGGCGTCTCCTCTAAGCGCGAGCTTGGTGTTGATAGTGACGCAATTAATGCGATGGACAATACAGCCGGGAATAGCGGTGCTGTGCTGGACAAGGCCGACCGTCTTCGGCGCCTTTCTAGCCTCAGCTCCAAGCGCCTGCCCGAGTCCGCTCCCGCTAGCACCATTTCGACCCCGAACAACATCCCCCGGAGCTCCCCCCCGGCCGCTCAACAAAGGCCTGGTAGTGGCCTTGCCTTCCTCTCTCGGGCCCCAAGCCAGCGGGCTCGGTCCTCTTTCAAATGGAGCTCGGCTTAGACTGCTTAGCTAAGGTGCCCAAGTTTGCGGACTGCACTAGCCTTCTATGTAGGATCGTAAGGCTCCGGGCGGTACAAGTCCCCCTGGGCGTGGAAAAGAACATCTGCTGCACCTTGTAAGCTCGGAAGCCAAGGGGCCGTAGATAGCGAGGATAAGGGAAGAAAAGAGAGAGCGTGGTCAAATCAACTTGAAAACATGGCTCGCAGGGGCAGCCGCGGGGGTTACGTGGACTGACCTGTTGAAGATACGAGGAGATACCTTTTCCTCTTGTGGAGGAATTGCAATAGCATAGTGGCTCGCTGCCCTCCTAGTTACCATAAGCCTCGGTTTTTGGCTACAACCTCGCTGGCAGTCTCTGCCTGCGGTACCGTGCCCGAGTCTACGAGACTAGCCCCCCCCTTAAATACGTTCCAGCACCCACTTAGACAGGCTGCCCTTCTGCTGCCGTTAGCCTGCCCCCGTAAGCTAACGCGGCTCGCGCGGCCTCGGGACGCCGCGGCCGCCACTGCCAGTGGTGCGATCGCGCGGCCGCCGCCCCAATTAAGCTACGTCCAGGAGTCCGCTAGGGCGCCGGGCCGCTCTCAGTCGCGCTCCATTCGGCGGCGATCATGACGAGCTAGGCAGCCCTAGGGGGTCCGCCCCCGCCCCCTTGCTGCTGCTCACCCCACTGCTCGCCCTCGATCGGCCGCTGGATTTTAAATCTCGGTTCTTGGCGGCCAGCTCGGGATATCCCCTACGCTCGGGATTTGCGCTTCCAGAAACGTTTCAATGGGCTTTTGTCCAACATCATCCATCTCTAAATCGCATGTGCAAGCAAACATGTTGTTTTGGTCGAGCGACTCCATTTTGGATTGCACACATTGCTAAATAATTTCTTTCTTTAGGACGAGGCAAATAAAAAATTCATCATAGTATATGCTCGCTGAGCACGAAATAACACATGTTCGATAGATTCTTCTGGATTTGGTCGCAGCTTCCAAGAAATCTAGTCCTTTAGTTCTTTCCAGAATGGCCGAGCCAAAATTCTGGATATTCCGAGGCGCCAGTAGCGACTAACTCCGTCCATTTTTCATGACACTCAGAAATGATGCTCACTGCCTCCAGGCGTGAAGTAGGTTCGCCGCTATTCGACAACACATTGATGGCTTTACCATCGCTTGTCTTATACCTGCAAAGAAGGTTAATAGGCAAACAATATTAGAAATGTGGATCGGAGGACGCAGGGGCGATAATCACATTTTCAACCAGTCGACAAGCCTGGCCGTAAGCCCTGGAACATGATTCTCAAGGTCTTTCACGTCATTGATGGAAACTGATCTCGGGTCAGACGTCCGAAGGGCGATAATTTTATGATCTGTTTCACCCTCATCTATCAGCTCAAGGGAGCCAAGCACCTTAACCTCTGTCACAGAGCCCAGAGCCAATGGGGATTCACCGACCTCAATCACGTCAAGAGGATCGTTATCACCACCGAACCCTTCGTCCGATATCATATGTGGATCCTCCCAAGTCTGAGGGAGCAGCCCGTAATTAAAGAAGGGCACGCCGTACGTATAATAACGTGGAGATCCGTCCTTATTGGTGTCTTGCCTAAAAATTAGACATAATCATCATGTATTTCACTCCATTTTGACTCGCCATGACCCTGGATGTCACATAATCGGATTCGACCACTTGTCCTTCATGACTTCCATCTTAGCCGAAGTATGTTTCGGGATCTCTGTGATCATGTTGAACTGGGCAGTGCTTGAGACAGCAGCTGATGTCGTTGTTGGGACAACCAAGGGAATATCGTGCCAGGGTGATGCTTGCTTACTGCCGCGTGTCAGAAAAACGGCAAAATCGGTTTTGCCGTACGTGCCATGAGCCACCGTATTCTCGTCGACCAGGGGCTGAACAACGGCCTTGGACCATGGTATCCAATCGGGGGACTCGATGTTCTGGTAGTAGTCGCACACGATAGCCCAGCCGCTAGGGACCATAAATCCCTGGGGTACACAATTTGCGGCCAAAAGGTCAGAAGGAATAGGGTCCCGGCAAGGTGTTGCTCCCTGAGCGGCAAGCTTGCGCATCTTGCTGCCGGAAATAGATATGAAATCATCCTCCCGTGATGGATCCAAGGCCTTCATTTGGTGATCTGTTTTATCGTAGTAGAATTTGTCGAATGAAAGCAAAGCCATGCGGGCATCTTCAAGCACAGGCGACATTTGAAGAGCAAAGCGGGCATGATTGGCGTCATACATGTCATCGTCGGGGTTCCATGTGGCTTCTGGGGAGCTCTTAATACCAGCAGCATCGCGTCCAACAACAAAGAAGGACGCTCCAGCGGCGCGACGACTTGCTGCGTGAAACTGAACCTCCGTGGGGCCGGCGTATATCATTGGAGCAGGCCATATACCCATCACGGTCCAATCCGGATCAAGCATACGCTCGTCGAGGACGGCTTGATGCTGAGTTACACGAACATCAAGAGGCACGTCGTCGCTTTTGGTCCACCCGCCAAGAGGAGAGAGCCACAAGACTGGATTTTGGTAGCCCGCAGCAACAAGGCGCTCGCGCCCTGTGCGCATCAGATATGCGTGACCAGCATGCGTCGGATTGCGAGTCTGGAATGCAAAGACCACGTCAGCGCCCTTTGCCTTAAAATTGGTATAGAGTTCCTTCGGTGTCAGCCGCCATTTATCTAAACCATCCCTGTATCTAATTGGTTCAAACACTTCCACCTCCCCGCCTAGCAAGTAGTTCCCACCCGAATAAACATGCGCTATGTACGGGTGGCCTGGATCGATTGCACCAAAGCAACGGCTGACAATTTCCTCTTTTCGGTTTGGATACACTTCGGGGTTCTTGAGCACTCCTAGTGCATGTCCATCTTTGTCGATCAGCGCAACCGCGCCGGATGGCGAGGTCTCGATAGCGGATTTGGTGAATTCAGTAATTGGCAGAACGATTGGCACGGCCATACTCACGCGCCTGCGAACGAGTATTCACCATGTTGACATCTCAAACGCATTATTCGAGATAAATCATAAATAGGTGCGCGAAGAACGCACTTTCTTCCGCGTACTTCGTTATTGTTCCAATTGGTCTGCTGAAAGTTGAGCTCTTTGGCTCCCACGTCGTCAAATGGATCGATTAGCAGTGAATTGAAATGTAGGGCTTGAAGCAGCACGCCTTCGCGCATGAAACCACGAAGGGGGGGGGCCCAGCCCTCCGATATGACCTGTGCGGATGTTTCACGCAAGCAAATCTTAAATGCTAAATCGGTAAGGTAGACAGGGAATCCTTGCATGCAGCCAGTTAACGTCAATATCATTTAAGCGTGCTTGTGGCAGAGATCCATCCTCTGCGGCCCGCTTTGTAGCCAGAGCTGAAGAAGCAGAAAACTTGTTATTTGAAATGATGAGCTCATCTTCAAGCCATGCCCCCGTGAACCCTGGCGGCAGTGGTAAACCCGAAGGGTCAGATGGCCCTCCGTCAAGGACACCTTCGACACGAAGCTTCTCGATTAATATACGAACGCACTCGTCCAGTTCAAGGTCCCAATTAGGCAGGTCAACATCGGGGTGCAGGGGCTGCTCGTACGGTGCATCGACTCCAGTAAATCCCTTGAGTTCGCCCGCGGCAACCTTAGCATAGAGGCCCTTGGGATCGCGCTCTTGGACGACATCCAGGGGAACGTTCATGAACACCTCGAGGTACTTGAGCCCCTGATCCTCGTGGCGCTGTCGAGCTGCTTCCCGATCCGCACGATACGGACTAACCAGAGTTACTAGGGTGATGACACCACCGCCATTGAAAAGACAGGCCATCTCGCCAACGCGGCGAACAGATTCAGCACGATCTGCAGGAGAGAATCCAAGGTCGCGATTCAGGCCGGTGCGTACATTGTCACCGTCTAGCATCTGCACGTGTTTGCCATACTTCAAAACGAGCGTTTCTTCCAATGCCTTTGCGATGGTAGACTTTCCAGAACCGGAGAGACCAGTCATCCAGAGGGTGATTCCCTCCTGATTGAGGGCTTCAAAGCGTCGCGCCTGAGAGGTCTCATGTTACCAAGGTATTACAATCCTGCCCGCATTGTGTTATCTACACCGTTGTGTACGCTAGGCAAGTGACAGGCGTCCTGACTACCACCTTCGTTAGCTTCCGCACACTCAATAATATTTGGCGGTGTTGCCTCAAGGGCCGCTGCCCTATAAGCTGCGATGTCGAAATCGCCATCAACTGTGTTGGCCGCGAGCCTGGAATCAATAGAATGAGGAGGACACTCAATTCTAAGTCGTGCAATTGTTTTTGACGCAGCGCAACGCGCTGTTCGCGCAATTTGGCGTTCTCGTCGAAGAGCGAGGAGAAGGCAGCATCTGATACTCCCTGTCCACGGATGGAGCTCGTTGTTTTAAGCGCCGCAACCTGCGTCGTCTGCATAAATACTCGTTCGTGAACCGAATGGATTGCACCTGGGAGCGGAGCTGAGAATTTTCCAATACGACTTCTTCGAAGAGGGCAGAGATCTCCGTTGTGTCTGGGGGAGGCGATGCTGCGTTCGAACCGCGGAGGTTCAGTGGGGGTGGTGCGATAGTCTGTGATGCTGGGTCTGTGACTTCCGTTGCGGAGGAGGAGCCGCTCGTGAGCAGCAAGCCACCGCCGATGGCGAAAACGAGAAACAAACCCCATACCCAGGGGCGCTTCATCATGGGTGGAGTTGCTAGTGGGCCGTTCGAGTGCTTCGGGCTTTCCATTGCACCGCCCTCTTCCGTCGCCACCTTCGAGTAGTACGCGATCGATGGCATTGCGTCAGCGACGTCCACGTGGAGTACGTACTACGCGGCGGAATCGTGCCTTCAAGTTTACGATTGAGGGTGTGCGCCCAAGCTTGGGGTGGACGCTGGCGAACTTGGCCGGATTGACCGCGCTGGTCGAATCCCGCTGGCCAAGTCCAACCGCGATTGGCCGTGCGTCCGCGAGGTGTAGCCGGAATCCTAGATCACCGACTACCGTGACTGAGATAAAATGAGCATGCTGAAGTGCAATATGAGAGGCAACGAAGAGTGGACCATAGGGTCAGCCTGCTGGACCATAGTGCACCTAGCCTCCCTGGCTGGCCCTTCTCCCATTGGGCTATGCCTCCCTGTCCCTGACTTTACTATCTCGCTGGGTGTCTCAGATTCATGTACAGGAACGTACCGAAACTAAAGTCTGCATCAGTAACTGATGTCTCAAGCCCATCCAAAATGAAAGGATTAACTAATTGGGTAAGAATACAACGACAACGTAACGGGCTCAAGACCATTCCGACCTCGAGTCCTAAAGATTTCAGTCACCTAGTCGATCTGAAGACAGGCGTTGAAATACCTAGAACAGCTCTTCAACAGGAGGAGCATGTACTCAAGTACTGTCAGGTCCTTGCAAAGACAGGAAGCTCCGCACTACTGTGCATGGGTGCAATTGGACAACAAGCAGACAATCAGCCAGAGGAACCGCAACATGGCGAATCGCAAAATCCTGCACCTATTAATGGCCAAGATTGCGATACTACTACTGAGCTTAACAAGGAACAAACAATAGTCCGCGTTTGTCTCATTGGTCCAGGCCTATGCACTGAAGGCACAGACGGGTTCAGTAATATGCCCATCAAAATCGTCTCATTCATTGAGGTAGGGAAGAATTTTGAACACGCTAAGGAAACCTTCCCAGATGCGCAAGCACTGAATGACATACGCAAGGTAAATGAAGACATCGAACAAGACAAACTGAACATAGTAGAGTTCGATCTGCTGGTATGCTCGTTTCCTTGTTACAAGAATACCCAGCTACGCGACGAGAATGGCGGAAGCTATCACCCTTCAGGAGATCTATTCACGGAAGAACAAATGAAATTTATCAGTTTGATCAAGCCCAAGCACGTACTCAATGAAATGACCCCTACAAGGGTCGACTACTACCAGGAGCACGACGCTGTCGTGAAGGAACTCAGAGCGATGAACTATTTTGTTGAGACTGATCAGGTTGATTGCTGCACCCTCGGTGACCTCCAGTCGCGATTCAGATGGTTCGCACTAGCGAGCACAAGCCCCATCAAATCGTTCGATGTATGCAAGGACAGTGGTATGTCCTGCTTTCCAAAGGGACTAGACCAAATACTGCAAGACGAGGATACCATTCCTGGAAGCCTGTATGTATTCGACACTCCTGTGCAACATGCTCCAGATCTCGTACAAACTCTCTTTAGCGCATGGATGACTCCAAAAACCAACATGCTCAGCATTCTTCCTCACGAGAATGCCCTTGCCTGTGTACTACTTGCGTGGGTATTCGCCAAGAAGCACAAGGAACTCCCTCCAGCGATGGTAGTGCGGAAAACAATGACAATTGGCTGTCACGGGCCTAAACCGTACAGGTATCAAGGTATTAAGAACCCATCGCTCGCGTTTGTGTTCATTCTGCTGGCACGCGAAATGCGACATAGGCAAAGACATGAAACCATGTTTGAGATCAAAGTCACATTCCTGCGCCCCGCACAAGGTGATGTGTACTTTGGAACAGAGCGTGATGGTCGCTTCATGTACTTTAGCTGCATGCCAAAGGCTTCTCCTCCCGGGCCTCGCCCGGCAGACGTTGTGGCTTTCCTCAACGTTGCCTCGCCAGGCTCATGCATTTTGGCATCAGGGGGAGTGAGATATGTAGATACCAGAAACGCACTTCGATCAAAGATAAGAGCCACACTTTGCCACTCCTACGGCAGGTTCAAAACAAATGACCCTGAACTACGGAACAGGAAAGGCACGACAGCCTACAGGATCTCAGGGCCTGCCCCCACTATCACATCGGATTTCAACATGCTTATCGATGTGTCGAGTAGGTGCAGTCCAGAGTCTCCCGAGTACAAACATGTGCACAGATACATGACAATAAAGGAGGGATCCAGAGCCACAAGTCTCACTCCAGACGCGGAGAGCAGGCTTGAATCCCTGGATGAAGCTGAAGCATATAAGCTACTAGGGAACGCCATTCCCCGATTCACTCTCATAGCCGTCTACACGTGCGCCTACAAGCACATCACCGGCCTAACATCAGACAACAAGGACACAGCGCTAGATGCCACAATATTGGATGCAACCACATTGGACCCCAAGCGGAAGTACACATTGAAACCCTCAGAGGCTCTATGGAGAAAGTGTCCTCACCCTACAAGTGAGGAATACGCTCAGGCTAAGCTAAACGTCGATTGGTATCACACAATCACACACAGGAGCTGGGAACTGATTGAGAATGACATCCTCATCAATGAGTCATTAGGACTGCAACCAGGAGACACTCGAATGATGTCACCGTGTCCAATCTGTGAAGCCAACAAGGGGCAAATCCCAGTCATTCACCACAGCCCATCTTGGCATGAAAATGAATTAGGATACACGCCGCTGCAGGCTCTCATGATAGATATATGGGACAGCCCTGTCAAATCAATGCTGGACGGATTCACATACATACTGGTATGCGTTTGCATAAGAAGCGGTCTGGTAATAGACATAGGCATGAAGAGACTTAACGCTGATCACTTCATCAACGCCATCGTTAAGGTCTACAACCAGATAAAGCTTGAGTACGGTATTATACTTAAGCTACTCATCACAGACTCATTCTCCACGTTCAAGGATGGTGACAAGGTCTTACAGATGAAGCTGCGGTTAAACATCGAGATCGAACCATTACCTCCGTATTTGCATAATTACAACTACGCGGAGAATTATATAAAGATCCTTCGAAACGGTGCAGTAGTACGGATACAGCAGCTAGCTGGGTTGAACGGACTTGGAAAACCGATTGTACCAGAACAGTTCCTTCCAGAAGCATTCAGACACATGGCATGTTCGTTAAACCAGAGTTCCAGCTCTTCCATACTGCGAAAATATGGAATCAGGACAACCCCTCGGCAACTGTGTAGTGAGTCTGGTGGAAAGGTACTTAGGGACCTACCACTGTATCCATTCGGATGCAAGGTAGACTTTGTGAACAATGTGTCCAAACTTAAGACTACAGGAAAAGGAGAGGACAGAGACATCATGAACAAGTCAAAGCTAAAGACCACTCCAGCCATTTACTTGCACCCTGCGAACTATCACCATGAACGGTTCTCCGAACTGAAGAGCACGTCCCTATCAGTTCTGATGCTCGTAACAAATGGGAACCCTGTCGCCACAACAAACTTCAGGCCAACAGGCCTGTCTAAACAAAATCAGATATATCTGAAGTCTCAAATGGCAGACCCAAATCAGGAAAATCCCTTCATACCCAAAGAACCGGACAGGACAGTCCCCAGTTCCAAGCCTAACGTTATTTTGTTACCAGGCAGCGATAGTCGCAAAGATCAACCAAGGCCAGCCACCACATCGCANAGGCAGGCTACACCGACTCCTTCAACACCTCCTCCTGAACCTGACGGACAACTGGTCATACAGGACTCCAGTAGTCACAACCACACCACAGTCCAGTAGAGAACTTGTGCTACGAGACGCTAGTGACAAGGGACCATATTCACCTACGTCTCAACTCGATCGTGATATAAACGACCAACTCTCCGGTCTCTTAAGGCGAGTGTCCACGGACAGAGGCTCACCTAGAGATTTGTGGCCAGACTCATCAACAGTGGCACCATCTCCTTTTTCCACTACTCAGGAACCCCCACTCACATTTTCTGACCCCAAGGTCAGCCCTCTAAAGTTCAGGAAACCCAAGGTAGGTGATCTAATACGCATTAGAAGCAAAGACGGCGAATGGATGGGAACCCCCCCATTCAAAATCATGAGAGGAAAAACCAAGCCTCAACTCTCTGATTCTACTCCAGGAGCTACAGTCCAGGCCAGCGATATACGAGTCATAAGGTGGGACCCTGAAACAAAGGAAGATAGACAGTTCGACCTCAGAGAGAAACGGTTCGGACCATCGTCAGACCCAAATGCAGTCTGGCATTTCGCAAACCCAGATGGATCAGAAGCAACATCCGAAGCTCCAGCTAAATCTGTTACCATCACTCAGGTGCAGGACATGCAACCAGATGAGCACACTCCTGATGACACCTACGTCTCCTTTTTCACTACCGCACCAATGAGTAGGAAGGTCTTCTGAAGAACGTGTACTTAGCAGATACTCGATTCCCATTTACTTCATTCGCTTAATTGACACCATTCATGATGAAGCTGAAGTCCACTATCATTTGGGATTTACACGGAGTTTCAATCCAGGGGGAGTAGAGAGATAGAGAGATTTCTATCTTCATCTTCAGTGAACAGCAAACTGCATCTTGATGTTGCAGTGCACCTTACCCCACTGCGCTCCTACTGCGTATCCTGCTAGTTTTTCCTTCCCTTCCTTAATTCATTCTAATCCAGTTTCAAGTCTTATAGACAGCGAACTGAAGGAGTGACTGCCAAGCAGGCACAGAGTGCATAGCGCTCTTCTGTGTCTGTGGTGTCTGTCTGGTTAGCGTCACAGCGACGCGCCAGGTAGCACCAGGCTCAGCGAGGTTGCACAGTCGCCGGACAGTGCACCTGCTGGATAGTAGTTTGACTGACGTCATAGCGACGTTAGGAAGCTAGTAAACTATCCTAACTTTCTAAAGATACCGTTATTACAATAATATCTTGTATCCATGGAACACGCAGCGGCGAATCCTAGCCGCATGGCCGATGAGAGCTCCGCGGCAATGGCGCTAATCAGTGAGATGCGGCGTCTTTCAAGGATCTCGGCCGACGAGGCCGATGATTGGGAGCGCAAATTCAGAGCCATGCAAGAGGCCTGTGCCGCGGCGAGAGAGAAGGAGAAGACGACGCTCAAAGCGATGCGTCGCCAACAGAACGAAGCTCTTGGGGAGCGCCTCAAGGTTGAACGTGCTCGCGAGACATTCGAAGCCGAGCGTAGTGAGCTGGAAACTCTGGATACTGAACGCGAAAGGGTGCAGAAACAACTCGACGATTTTGAGCAGAAAGAAACGGTGAACAAGTATGAAACTGCTGAGCTCGAACGCACGCACAACGAGCTACTATCTGCCGTCGACGCGATGCTGAAGGAAAATGATGCTTTGGTGAAACCGGAACTATTGAAACTCGACAAAGATCTAGCACTGGCACAACAGATATTTAGAAAGGTGGATGATACCTTCGAGCGGGATACGCAACGTAAACATACTCTTCTAGAACGGTCTGAGGTCCTTGAAGAAGAAAAACACAATTGCACTCTCGCGCTACAAGGCGCAAAAGAAGTACTGCAGAAAGTGTCGGTCGAACCTGAGCGCATCCGGAAACAGGCAGAGTGTGTTCAAAAGGCGGCTGAAAAATTACAACAGGAAATCACCCGCATCACTGATAAAAACAGAGTGTACGACCGGGAAATAAAACGGCAGGTATCGAAGCGGAAAGAAGCCGAAGAAGTTCGAAACAATTTGCTCCACAAACTTGAGCTGCACCGTGATACCATCACGCACAGACAACGTGACGTTGATGCCGTAAAAAAGAATGTGGAAATTGAGAGAGCACGCACGCATCAACTGGCCGAGTTGAAGATCAAGCTCGAAATTGCCCGCAGAGAAATGGACGAGAACACAAGACACGAGACTGACTCTTTGTCCATGTCCAAAAAGGAGCTTGAAACGCTGCGACGCCGGTACTTATCATATCTGCGTGAAGATGCTATTTTGAGATAAAACTCAGGTACCGGAAGAAAAGAACAATTGCGGATTCTGCGAATGAAATTTTGCCAACGCTGAAAGCCCAGCTTGCTGACAACGAACACTTGTTGCGATCTCACCTTGAGGAAAATAAGCAGTCTGTGACGCAGATAGATACTATGAAACAGGAGGTGGACCTTGCAATTGCGCGGCTATTGCGACAGGAAGGCATCGAGAAGTCAAAGCGCCAAGGCCTGGAAGCACTTCTGAAGGAAGTCGCTGGCATGGAAGATGAAATAGGAAACTGGAGTGCTGAAGAGCGTCGTCAAAATAAGCTCATCGCTGTCCTCGGTGCACAGCGTGAAATGAAAGCAAGGGAAGCCACACGCGCCCAAGCAGCCGAGAAAGACACGCGTGAACAAGTCAAGGTCAAGGAGTTGGTAATACTAGACTTATCAAAAAAAAGCAACGAGGTGAATAATCGCCTGAAGGAATTTTCCGCGCTGTACGATGTTGTAAAAAATGAGCGGAACAAGTACGTTAATTTGATCCAGTCATCTTCGCAAGCTCTCGCAGAGATGAAGGAAAAAATAAAAATTTTGATGAATGAAGTTCGTCAATTTTCAGCTGATCCATTGTTTATTTACTCAGTTTCATAGGTAGAGATCCTTCGGAATGAATCACTTGCCAAAGACAAGGCTCTAGCGAAAGAACGGTCGCAGCATTTGGCATCTCAAGCGCAGCGAGATGGCCTTCGGCTGGATCTATATAAATCTCAATCTGAATACCGCAGGAAACAAGAAGTTGTCGAGCAACAAATTGTCGAGATTGACAAACTAAATTCGATCATAAATGGCCTCGAAAGGGACATGTTGCGGCTCAAGGCTCGATACGTCAGGGCTGTAGAGACTAGAAACTCCACTGGTGTTTCCCTAATTGATCGAAACGACGAGCTTTGTATATTATACGAGAAGGTGAATCTCCAAGAGCAGACTATTAAATGCGGCGAGCTCGGGGTTCGTCAGAAAGATGAAGACATCCGAATGCTGAAGCTTCAGCTTTGCGAGCTGCAGCGCCAAGTCATAGTTTCAAGGAAGCAACTACCGCAGATGCCGGCGTTGGCAGATGCAGTTGTAAAGCTCAAGGGCGAACTTAGCCGTGAGCGCCAGATGACAGACTCACTGTGCAAGGACCTCGAGTCTCCTTCCAATGATGGTCGTTGGCGTTCGCTTCCGGGCGATGATCCAGATAGGGAACAGCTCCTTGCAAAAACAGCTGTATTAGAGGAGCGCCTAAACCTCAAGAAAGAAGCCTTGCTCGAAAATGAATTGGTTCTTGAGGAAATTTCAAATCTTACTGCTAAATTGAGGAACCGGGCAAATGATGGTCGTGAGACCACGTTAAACCTTGCAAGAAAGGTCAACGATTTCCAGGCCAAGATTCGTGACACAACTAGGCGTATGTATTCCCGCTCAGCGTATGCCTACTCGGCCAATTAGTTTCTTGCAGGTATGATGGCCACGGTGTCTGAACTATCAGTTTACCAGGCGACAGCCATGAAATTGCAACAACAGAAGCGCACTGCCACTAGGAGGCTCGAAGAGTCGAAATGGCGTATTGCAAGGGACGAACCGCCCATAGAAGACCTCCATGCAGAGTTGCATCGTCGAGAGCGTGAGAGACATAACACGCGTGAGTCGACCATAACCAAGGGTCTAGAACGTGAATCTCGCTTTACTTCTGGCGTCGTACGAACCACAGCAGAGCCACGGCCAAACGCGTACATCCCTGATGTAGCCCATGGTCTTGGTATACCGAAGCCATACAGTTCCTTGGCTCCATTTAAGCCGGCAGAGGCCGGCAGCACAATGCGGCATTATAGGCCTCCAAAACCGCCTGTCATCATCATTTGAGACCCCCCCGCCACCCGAATTCCTGGTTTCAGTGCTCGCACGGTACTGGCATCAAAGAAAGACATTAAGGAAGCTAGGCCCCGGTACAACACTCCCGATGGTACCCACGCCTGGTTTTGAGCACGGCCCCCACCGCCGTCCATCCTACGGGGCGTCTGTGCGAGAAAGAACATATCCCGACGGCGTGGGTAACAGACATGTCAAATCTGCTTAAGAGCGCGATGTCATTTAAGTAGTGTCCTTATTTT